GCGCTGCCTATCCACCTCTCCCCAGTGACTCCCCACCACTCACGAGCCCGCCAGCTGCTGATTGAGCAGCTCCCGACAAGGCGACCGTGTCAGCAGGCTGCTATCGAATCATTGATTTTAGACCCGTGGGCCTGCAGCGCGCCCAAGACAGACTACCCAGGCCTGCATTGGCGGCCGCCGTCGTCATGCATTCGACCTTCTCTCTCTATCAATCAACCCGTATCGTCTGACTCCCCCAGCGCCCGTCGCCATGCTACCCCAGCCCGCTCCTGCTTGCCGCAACAGCCGAATAAGGAAGCCCGACTTAATTGCGCTGCATCGGTCAACTACTACTCGTATTCCCGCTACTCCGTCGCGACGTCTAAAAATGCTGCGCTGATCGCCGACCTTTGCCTTTGCTTGTGCAATTCGTTTTCCTCTAGCATTTCCTAGGCCGAGTGGAGGCTCGTCCTTTCGTAGCGCCGTCGGTCTTCGCGGGCCTATGACCAGCTGCTGCAGCTGAAAGCTCAAGCCGATCCATTGCACCGGAGTCGCTTCCTACCAGACACTGCTCTCTAGCCCGCGCATCCAGTTACAGCGCTTGGACGCTTCGATATTCATTCTTCGTTCCGTGTGGACAGCACCCTCATCGCAGAGTTGGCGATCTGTTCCACCAAGCGACCCGTTCCCCGCCGAACCAACAAGGGCACATGTCGACATGACCCTTGGCCTGCCCGTGCTGTAACCGATCCCCACCATGCTACCTTACCCATATCTCACATCCCTTCCGCAGCTCGCGCCACTACCTTAGCGGGAGTCGAAACGCCATGTCCGTTCGTCTTGCCTGTCTTGAGCGCTTGCTCTACCTAATCCCGTCCGTGCGCCGTGCCCTTTGACATGCTCTTGAAACTACGCGAGTGCAAGACGTAATCTATTCACACGGAGAACACACTGTGTCTTCCTGTAAGCCGACGATGCCGGCACCCGCTTCGGCATGCTGGAAGCGCGCAGCCTTTCGCGTCTCTTTCCTGACGCGTTCTCGGGAGGCTGTGCCACATTGTTCCATGTCTTAGACCCTGAGGCCAAAGTTTGTCATCTGCCTCTCACTGCAGGGTCTAAACCAATTTAGAAACGTTGCCATTCTTTGTTTGCTAGAGCCTTTGTTGCGTCCGAACTCGGTACTCTCCAGTGGGGTACGAAGAAACAACACGGCCGATCAGTCTTCATCTATGGAGCCATGTTGATATAGTGCAGTCGCTTATATCCGTTGCCTTCGTAACTCGGGACTACCACGCGAGTGGAACATGGCTCCCTTCTTCTATGGTTCAAAATATGCCATACATGTCGTGGGTAGGAGGGCGAGAATGGCTCCGACTTCTCGACATGTCGACCCCTCGTTAGCATTCAACCAGCCTGACGTTCACCATCATGCTACTAAACCCGCACACCGCTGTCATGACACCTGTAGCGCGCTAAATACAAGGATCGTTGAAACATTCCAATGCAAATTCAAGTATTAGACCTAGTCCATATCTTGGCGGGGCACTACCGTCGGGCTAGGATAGCTGCTTGATCATATGACAGCTGTATCCACCGTCTTGGATCCCAGCTTCGGGAGACATCAGACGCCAAGATGGTCCCACGTTCAAGTTAGATTGAAGATCGCGGCGTACGGCGGTTGTAGCCGTTCCATGATATCGAAGCCATTTCACGTCGAGACCTCGTTTCAGAAATCCGAGGTAATGGAAAGGGTAGGACCATCCACTGGTGAGTGCTTGTTCTTGCAGCCAACTGCGGATGTCCCGTAAGCTAACACTGGATATGGCTTCCGTTTGGCTTCCCGTACGAAAGCCACATGCAGCGGGTCGTACAACCGTAGCGGTGAAGCACATCTCTTCTTCATCGGCTTTTGCAACACCGAAGCAAAAACAAATGTTGCTGCAACACCATGTACAAACGCAGGTCCGCTGTGTGAAAGTGTAATCAAACGTCCAGTATAGGGTTCGAGATCGTCCCCAACGGGCTCACTGTTCATGCTTCCATTTTGCCTGTAATCGCGGATCAGCTCCAAGATGGTCCATTTGTGATTTTGAATCATGAAGATAGTGGGTGCTAGTGGCTTCGGCATGTCCCCAAGGCTCGCTAGAGAGTAGCTGCGCTATTGCAACCTAGAGACGAACCCCAGCCCCTTCGGATCCTCAATCCTGCCCGGCGCTGTCGTTCTTTCCATGTCAGATCATCGGCCTAGGCAAACTGCGTTCGAACGGTGAGGCGGTCCACTCCAGAGTGGGGAAGCGTGGCGAGGCTGCATCAACGTTTAAGGTAGTCGTGGCCAATCATCAGACCAGATCCAGCATTCGTTCGACGAAAAGACGGTCAGGTGCTACCAATTGCGCCGAGGGCTTGAAAAGACCAGGGCGGTTATCGTATTTATCCATTCGTGCATCAGATGATACTCATGAACGACCCGGAGATGAGTCCAAGTAGAACGTGATGTCTGTTGAGGTTGGGAAGCCTACGCCTACCGCCTTGAGTTAGATAGTCATCCACTCCCGCAGGTGAATCGGTGGGACCTAAAGAGAGACCCACGTATCCGATGGACCATACAGCAAGAGAACAAGGCTCATGAAGTTGAAGTCTCCACCGGATTCAGTCCGATGTAGTATTGGAGGTGGAGAGTGCGGTGAATTGAGCTCCACGCGTCCATCTAGCTGGGTTTTTTCTTCCGTCTTTGAGTGTCATACAGTCTTGATGCCGTTTAGATCCGGATCCCGAGTAGGATTCAAGGCAACTCGGTGTCAACACAATCGAGGCGGGGTTCAGTTGCCACAGCCTGTTCATGTATTGTGAAACTCGTCAGTAATGCATCGGACATCGGCATTATACTAAAGTTGAAGTGTTCACTGGATTCAGTTCGCGGCATTCTCAAGAGCAAAGGCTCTCACGCGTCAACGCTTGCTAGGCGACGTTCCGAGACCGGCTCCGTCAAGTCTTACTTGAAGCGACAAGCTGCAGCACACAAGTAAGCGCGTTAGTAGCCTTCTCAGGGAGCTGCGTCATCCTCCATCAAACATGCTTCGATAGTATAGAACCGAGGAGGAGGCGAGCATACCAACACCTGCACACTACTGCAATGTATGAACGGCAGCAGTCTAGTCGCACGTAGCTCTTGGCCTGATGATAGCTGATCACTGAAACAGCATGATCGAGTACCAGAAGGGCCAGATACCCGCAAGCGGCAAGCAAGTTCTGGCTTTAGCTCAGCCGGCAATTTGTATTTGAAGCGGTGGCGAACCAACGGAGCGGTCTGATCGATTGAATGCAGAAGCGAGAAAGACGGTGAGAAGGCAATGGTGGCTCGTGTTGCTGAAGCTGTTCGGCCCAGAGGTCCTGTAGGGAAGGTGCAGATGCAAGGCGGAAGCCTTCTTGCCATGTGAGCATCCAAGATCGAGCAGGCGCACCTTCTACATGCTGAACCTGGTCAACCCTCAAACACAATCTGCACTTGAAGATGCGAGTTCTTGCCTGGAGTGAGTCACAAGTATTGCCAATAGAGCCATGTGGGAACTTGGCACTCCGTGTTCAACGCTTCACGATGTAACCGCATGCCGGATATTTCAATCTCGGAAAGAGCAGCTTGGCACTACACAATCGGCAGCAAGCACTTCTTGATTCATGTTAGATTTGCATTATCCAATATTCTGTTCCGGGACTACCTACACCGACGTAAACTCCCCTCAAAGATGGTCATGATGCCCCGGATGAACGCTGCCAAAACGCCCTAAAAGTACAATTCCCGAAGTAGTAGAAGTCTTGAACGCCCCGCCTATGAGAGCGCGGCTATCGTCCGGGAGCAAGACCTGGTACTGCGCTGAAGCGTTCGTCACGCTCAGTCTTGAAGAGGATCTGGCACCAGAATTCCTTGGCGTCTTCGTCGAACCAGAACCAGAACTTGCCCTCCCGTCTGTCGATGTCGCGAGATTGCAGCTTCACCGCGACCGTCTCGTAAGGCTCGCCAGCCACAATGAGGTACTGGTAGTTTGGGTCTGGCTCCTCCACCTTCTGCTCGTATGCGCTCATGACACGTACCTTGGGAGTGATCCCGGGGGTGAGGTCCGGGAACTGGAACTGGAACAACAAGCCATTTTGGCGTGTGTTCGGGTCGCGTACTTTTGTAATGCGGTATCCAGGCCGACCGATCTTGATGACGTTCTTCTTGGGCAGTACACCCGCGAGGAGTCCTTGCTGGCCCACATCATCTCTTTTGCCTTCTCTCTGCTCCTTCGCCGCACGACGTGCCAGGTTTGTCTGATGCTTCCTTCCTTGTGTATGGGCGAGATAGGATCCATCGTTCTGGTGGACCGTCAAACAGAGGCGGCACTCGAAACTGCCGACGTGGTTCTTGAAGAAGTACGGGTCCTTGTCAAGGTCGATGGTCTCGAGCGCGAGCTTTCGGAGACGCTCTCGTCGGTCGGCATTCGTCGCGGACTGTGATGCGACACCACCGCCTCCAAATTTGGAGCCTGCGCGATTCTGTAGACGTTAGTAGCTGTTCCTGACTTTCGCGACGAGAGACATACCTGGTAATCCATCTGAGCGGAACTTCACGATCTGCTGTGTCAATCTTGGTCGCGATTAGACAGGAAAGAGGGTGGCTTTTACGTAGGCAACGGTCAGGTGTTGGGCGGTGTAGAAGTCGTCGTGCTGAAGTGATGTTGCGCGACAGAACTTCTGGAGGCGTGCGACGCTAGTGTCCAGGTACCTGATCCCTGCACTTCGATATCACGTGCGCGGTTGCCTCCACACATTCACCTCGCATAGTGCATGCTAGCGTCTGTGAGCTGCTCTCACTTTTTGTACAAAAGGTCTGGTATTAAATCGGATAATTACTCTACCTATTTCATTGTGTCCCTCTGTCATGGCATATTAAATAAGAGACACGTCCCGCGACCTGGGCGTTTGCACCACACCTTAGCAGGTACCCACCACAAGAGAAGGAATCGTCGAGGATAGTATCAGTCATGGCAACAGACATATATATAGGAAAGCGCCTCTCCTACGACGCGCACCTCTGCACAATCCGCTACCACGGCCCCATCCAAGGCACAACCGGCCTCTGGCTCGGCGTAGAATGGGACGAGCCCACACGAGGAAAGCACTCCGGCACACACCAAGGCACCCAATACTTCACCTGTCTAAACCCTTCTCCAACATCCGCATCCTTCATCCGACCAACCCGCAAACCAGACCAACCACGCACCTTTGTCCAAGCCCTAAAGTCAAAGTACGCGTCTGAAGCTCTGGAGGAAGACTTCCAGGATCCAGATGTTCATGTTGTGTTTAACCATCAGCCGCCTGTGCAGCAGAAACAAAAGCCGGTGCTGTTCAATGGGAAGCCGGCGGAGGAGATTGGGTTCGATAAGATTAGGAGGCAATTGGCGCAGCTGGGAGAATTGAAGATTATTATTTTGGATGGGCTTTGTATGCAGAGGCCTGAGGCACGAGGGGAGGGGTGGTTGAAAGGAGGGGAGAAAATCGATGTCAAGGAGGCATGTCCGAAAGCGATGGAACTTGATTTGAGCAGGAATCTTTTTGAGGAGTGGAGGGAAGTAGCTGCCATCTGTGAACAGCTGCCTGGTTTGAGGAGCTTGAGGGTTGAGTGAGTATTCTACAAACTCGGTTCTCTCTTGACTGTACTAATAGAAGCGCAGTGGCATACGTCTTCGCGATACATCTGTATCAGAACCAGAGCGAGTCCGTTGTCTCAAAGCCTTCAAAGGCATAACCTCTTTGAAACTGGAAGACAATCTCCTCCCGTGGGCCGACCTGGCCCTCCTAACCCACCGCTTCCCCTCTGTCACAACCTTCTCCGCATCTAGCAACCTCTACACAAGCCTCACACATCACGCCCTCAACCCCACAATCACCGACCTAACACTGGAAGACAACCACCTCACTTCTCTATCCTCACTGGCCTGCCTCACAGCCCTCCCAAACCTGCACCGCCTCATCCTCAAATCGAACAAAATCTCCGAGATAACCAGTTCCGGCGCATCGATACCAGTTTTCTCGACCACCGTCCGAGAAGTCGACCTTTCGTTCAACAAAATCTCAACATGGGCGTTCATCGAACAACTCATACACGTCTTCCCCGGTCTCCGAAGCCTGCGTGTATCGCAGAACCCGCTGTATCAGTCGTTACAAGCACCGGATGGACGGAACTTGACGGCAGACGATGGATACATGCTTACGCTTGCACGACTGGGACAACTCAAGACACTGAACCACAGTCCCATCAACGAGAAAGAGCGGTTGAACGCAGAGTCGTACTATCTCTCCATGATCGCCAAGGAAGTGCAATTCGCGCCTGAGAACCTGCGAGAGCAGATATTGAAGAGTCACCCGCGATACGAGTGGCTATGTGAGGAGTATGGCGAGCCCGATGTTCAGCGTTCTGTCAACGCTGTGAATCCCAATTCGCTTGCTGCCCGGTTGCTTCGCATCAAGTTTTACCTTGCGACGTCCACAGACACGGTATTCGAGACGGAGATCCCGATGAGCGGCACGGCGTACACGGTTCTCGGTATTGTTGGGAAGCACTTCGGCATCAAGCCTATGAAGTGCAGACTGATCTGGGAGACAGGCGATTGGATGTCAGTGCGGAAATCAGCGACAGACATCGTAGATGACGACTGGGATTCTGAAGATAGCGAGGCGGAGATGGGTATGGAGCGGGTCATGAGGGAGGTGGAGATCGTTCCTGGGACGCGGTCGATTGGTACATGGATCGACGGGACAGAGGCTACTGTGAGGGTCGAAGTCAAGTCGTGACGGCTGAAGCCGGAAAGTACTCCATCGGTTTCGAGCAATGTGCGCTTCGTTAGCAGTTTATTCAGCGAAACCACCAGTTGGCCTGTACAACCGTTAGTAGACATACCCATACCAAGTTCCATACTGTACCCACCGAAGCATTCGCACCCTTTCCAATACCCCTGACAGCATGCCACCATCCATTAGGAATATACAGCGCATCCCCACTCCTCAAAGTTGTTTCCCAGCCCGTCGCACTCCCCATACTTCCATCTCCATCCTCATTCCAAACCGCCATTTCCATAGCCTCCATCTCCGCACCCTGCATCATCTCCTCTCCTCTCATCTTCGCATCTCCGCCCGGTCCCCGTATATGCTGCCTTACAGCCTCGAACACAATCCGACCCACCCCAGGCTTCATCATCCTGATCGTTTTCTTTCCTGCCAGTTGTACGAAGAGGTTCGGGTTCGGGTCGCGATGTAACGGGGTGCGCGTAGGTGGTCTGCCCATCCAGAGACTCGATGCGTAGATGTCGCCGCGGGCGTTGAGGTGGGATAGGAAAGTCAATGGCGTAGGTAGGTCTTCTTGCAGAGGCGCTGGAAGATCGGCCAGCGAGTGTTGCGCGAGGTACAAACTCGTTTCTTGCACGTCCGCAGCACTCATGTGTTGTAATAGGAGAGCCAGAGGGGCCTCGAAGCGCTCAAAGGCTTCATTTCCGAGGGCATTTTCGGGGGATGAGCGCGTCAGCTCCAATGGCACGATGGCATCGCCGTACTGCTCGAGGTACGCTGTGTTCAGCTCTTGCGGATATCTGAATGTGTCGGGCTTATTATTCCACTTGTTTGTCAAAGATGCGTCGAGGAAGGCATCCTTCTTAAACCACTTCCGGATTGCAGGTATATCCAGAAAGGATTCTTTGAAGAGCGCGGGTTGGTCGGGGTCGAATGCAGGTATGCTGAACTCCTTCTTCTTGTCCAGGTATTCCGTCTTCGTCAAGATCCGAAACCGCGGAGATTTTGTTGGTCGTACATCCGGCCTTCTGATCCAATGGCGAGGAACGGCAGGGGCCGGCTTCGGCATGGAGGTTTAGACTGTGGTGTGAAGGATTGCACGGATGCAGCTCGCTCGGGAGCTTGACACGCTCTCACGTTATCGTACCCCACACGAGCAGCAAGCACCCGCCCCGCCAAAACCTGCCCCTGGTAAAGTTTACATCGTCACAAACACCTGGAAGCTCAGCACCAGCCCACGCGACATCAGAATGGCTCAAGCTCAGGGCGCACAGCCCGGTCAAAGTAATGGTATCCAGATCCCAATTCGTCGCGCATTGTGCTAACCCTCCCTCGCAGTCGAAATCACATCTCTCCCTGTCCCCCGCCTCCAGGAACTAAAAACCCAACTCGACGCCGAGCTCACCCACCTCTCCAACTCGTTCCAATCGCTGCGCACCGCCCAATCCAAGTTCCGCGACTGCCTGAACTCAATCTCGACAGGCCTCACACCAGCCACCGTCTCGAAACCGCTCCTCGTCCCCTTGACATCCTCGTTATACGTACCCGGCAAACTCACGGATCATGAGCACGTGCTAGTGGATGTAGGCACGGGTTTCTTTGTGGAGAAGGATATTGCTAGTGCGAAAGACTTCTATGAGCGCAAGGTCAAGGATCTGGGCGACAGTTTGAAAGACTTGGAAGGCGTTGTGCAGGGCAAGGCGCAGAATGTGAGAGTCGTAGAGGAGGTTATCAGGCTTAAGGTCATGAACGCACAGGAAGGCAAGGGCGAAGAGCAAGGCAGCTGAAGAGTTGCGAGGCAATGAGCAGACACCATGCTGGAAGACCGGAAGGCCAAAAGCTAGTGTAAGTTAAGCCGCATGCGGCATGAATAGAAGCACAGCTGGAGAATCAGGGACACTGGAGATCGTGGCAAAAGGCTAGAGCCAGATACTTATGGTATTGGCATTATGCTATGTGAGAATGAAGTCCCACACATGGCGCTCGTTCAGATCACCACCTCATACCAGGAAAGGACTGAACAGGTCTGCGGCCTACATCAACATGAAAACATGCAAAGTAGATGACCTAACGTCAATGTAGCCTCCAGGGTGTTCAACGTTTCCCGTCCTTTAGATAGCGACGCCTCCCATGTCTGTGACAGAACTGACGATGGCTGACAGCTGAAGCAGCTTGTCCATGAGGATACGGATACCATCGCGTGGTGGTGTTTCAACGCCAGAGCCCAGATCGAGGTTCCTCATTCCGAAGTCCTCGTCCTCGACCGCGCTGGAGTAGCAAGACTGACCGTCATCTGGCAGGAAGGTAGCCACAGTGTGACCCCAGTCGGCCTTTCGACCCACAGGAAGACGCTCAAGTTCCGCAAGATGAGTAGCCCATTCAGAGTGGCGGACACAGAGACCCCAGACGGGAAGTCTCTGTCCTGGGTACCACATACAAGTAGCCTCAACCTTGTAGCAGGTCTGCTTGATGCCGAATGAGTAGATGGTTTCCAGACGGCCGTTCCGTAGGTGCTTCTTGACGGTAGGTGTCTGATCCCACTCAGCGAAGCTTTCGGTAGAACGATAATCGTGGTTGGGTCTCATCTTGACTCGATCAGCGAAGCCAGTAATGACAGGCGAGATGCTCTTCGCTGCCACAGGAATCAAGGACTCAAGGGCAAAGTGCCATCCTCGGCTCTCTCCAAGCTCCAGCAGATTGATATCCATGTTCTTCTTTGGTGTTTTACGACCCTGATCGATTTTGTAGAACCGGGTTGTTGTCTTCTCGTACAAGCCCTCTTCGTCATCAGTCCAGTCGACCTGAACAACGATGAGTTCGGACTGCGGCGCTACGGATGGAGTGGTTGTACTAGCGGAAGCTTGGGGAGGCGCTTTAGGACGTCCAGCATGGCGCACAGCTACCGGCTCACGCGGTGGGGCAACAACGCTGCTGGGGTCTGTGAACACCCACGTTCCTCGGAACATTGGACGAGTGCCTTCCAGCGATTTTGGCGTATAACCGAAGTAGGCAGAAGACTTCGTCGGCTCCAGGAAATCATTGGCCATGCAGAGTGCTCCCAGAATTTGCGAGCCCAGTGCATCATCAGCAAGCCTATGTTGTTAGCCATTATGCTAGTCGTCACGAGGGGACACACTTACCACTTCTTTATCTCAACTGTAACAGGTCCGTTAATCGACTTCAAGAATATATCCTTCCCGAACTTCTGGCCAATCTTATCCTCTTTGATATGTCTTGAGCTCAGAGCCAGGCACCCTAGCCGAATAGCCATATCGTACGCGCCTTTGGTGTGGCGCACAGCTTCAAGGGCCAGCTGAATTGAATGCTGGATCTTTGAAAGCTGCGTGAAGTGCATGATCTCATTGCGGAAGCTGCCGGGGGTTTCCATTATCCCACTGGAGAGGAGGCGAGGTACGACTCGATCTTGACTGATGTTGAGGGAAAGAGGTCAGCACTCGTCTGCAGTTCACGCTTGTAATTCACGTACAGGTTCGGCCACCACGCGTCAGCCTCCTCCAGAACAACCTCCAAGCCCTCTTTTTCATCAAGAATCATGTTGATTACATGCTGCAGTCCCATAGCATCAGCTTTGACTTTGTCGATCATCGTCATGAGATGCGCTTCGGCTGCTTCGATGCGCGCTATGTCGCGGGCTGTAAAAGTTAGTGTGTATCGCATGTAATAGCAATATGATGGGCTTGCCTTGTATCTCAATCTGCCAAACGTCGTTCTGAGTAGGAAGAAGCGTTATGTACACCTCGTTCTGAGTCCGAATGGCGTTAAGCGCTTCTAGCTTGTTATTGAAGACATCGCGAGGAGTGACGCCTTCGTTGAGGAGGTCCTCCGGCCAGCACACGATGATGCTCGCCAGTGGCATCTCGCCTTTTGATACCTCAGGCGCCTTGCCCTTAAATTCGTCCTTCCGCTGACGCTCCCGCTCTTCAATGCTGTCGTAGTACCATTTGTTATGGTCGAATGCAGGCGTCTTCGCCCATGATGATGAGTCTTTTGACTTGATATGCGCGTTAGAGATCCAGTGGTTAATGTATCGGACGGCCTTCTCAACGCCTGCACCTTGTCCAGCAATGGCGAACTGAGTGATATACCCAGCGTCCCATTTGGGGATGACATCGCAGCCAGTGTCGATCTTGATGTTGTTGACGATGAGCTCGCGTTCTGTAGCATGAGTGAGGCGACGGTACTCCGGGGGCACCGGAATGAACCTTTTTGGCTTGGGCTTGGGCTTGGGCAGAGCGCCAGTGTCCTGTCCGTCCATCGCTGCGGCTTCTTTGTTTTGTGGAGAACTAGAATCACTGTCAAAGTAGCGGCGTCGGGGCGAGAGGATTGGCAGTGTTGTGGTGTTCGTCGCTGCGGAGGTAGGTCGAGGTGACTGAATTGGAAAGAGCAAACGCGCGGTGACGCTAGTGCGCATGCGTACACAGCCTCAAAGCGCACCTACCTCGTCTCATTTTATGTTCAAGGTGCAAGTTAGGAAAGTGTGTGAGTACGGTTGATTTATACGAGAGCGTTGTAGTATGTTTTTGGAGCAGAGTTCCAGCGAAGGCCTACAGGCTGTTGTGCTGCACCTCCTCTTTGATGCAAGAAGAGCTCGAACGCAACGCAATGGTAGAGCAAGCTCAAAAGCGCACTCTATGTCTGTATCACCAAGGAGATCGTGTGCAATGATGCGGGAAGCTTGGTTGATGAAGAAGTGATTGTACTAATGGGGAGGTTGTAGAAGCTGAACATGAAACGAAGAAGGATGAGATTGGGGAGATCTACGACAGAATGAGAGAAGTATCCTCTTAGTATGGGTGAGGGGGAAGGTCTACTACTTGGAGACACTGTCGTCTAAGGTGGCCTGTTATGGAGGAGGGAGAGGTCTCTCCTGCTACAAGGGGCTGAGCACGTCACCAAAGCTACACATACAGCCCAGGAAGGTGCATCCACGACAGAGAGGCTTCGGGCGATAATAAGCAGATAGACCTTTGATATTTACGTAGTTGGATCGTATCGCGCAGAGCTGTTGGCTGGCAAACATGAGTGACGAGGTAGGCTGAGCAGTACATGAAAAATCGTGCAATCCATGCATCTGAATTCGAAAGTCATGTGGTTAACTAAAGCGACAGACAAAAGAATACTCCTAACAGAGTATCGAGCAGGAGCGATGGAAGAAGTCGTGGGCAAGGCTACCGAAGTTGAGAAAGGCTTGGCGGGCATCGGCGTTTGCGGAGCGACTCCCGATCCATTTTCTGAGCATCGCGAAAGCCATTACAAGTCGATATAGCGCATCATCGCGCTTTGCACTCCTCGAAAGCGCTATAGTACTCCTTGTCGAACGTACGAATCTTTGCGACCGCTGGCAATTGGAGAATCTGGACCTCATCGCCCCGCCACCATGGACGCCGTGCCCATCACAAAAAAGCTGATAGCCTTCGGCAGCAACAAGATATACCTGTAGGTCACGGCGATGTCTCATTTATGCTCAAGGCTGACACGATCCAGCCCCAAATTCACGGTTGCGTTTCTTCGCACGCCCCAACTCTCCCCATACCATGCCCGCTTCCAGGTCCCGCTAGACTTCTCCAAATACGACCTCCGCGACTACCTCTACCACGCCTACAACGTCAAATGCTTCAACATCCGATCGTACGTCAAGCAAATGCCGGTACGAGATACGCGGGAACAACCACGGCATTGGTTCCGCGAGGAGTCCAAGAAATACATGACAGTAGAGTTGGAGCAGCCATTCGTCTGGCCTGAGACACCCGACCTCGAACCATGGGGCAAGAAAGACAGGGAAAGAGAGATTCGGGATTCTGTGAAGATGGGCGGGGCAATTGACCAAAACGACACGCGGGAAGCAGCCAGGACGCTTCGAGAGCAAGTGGAGAAATTACTACACAAGAACGTTTCCAAGCCGAATCGCGAGATACAGAAGAAGAAGGCAGCGGCTATGGAGCTTACGCCAGAGGAGCAGGAGTCGGAGATACTGAGGAAGCGGGAGGCGTCAAATCTAAAGCGCATGTCAAGATTAAGGTTGTGGGCGAAGGAGAGGACAGGGAAGACCGTCGAAAGCGACAAGCCCAGGCGGTACGCGATCAAGGTCTGATAATGATCTTACGCTTTGTATATATGCGTGTAACATATGTATCGGGACGGGGCAGGAAACCACCAATTGAGAGCTACACGTACTGATAACCTTCCTGGATACTGCGAACACTTGGAATGGGTCATCATTAAAGCAGCCAATTGCGGGGCTCTAAGCTGCAGTCTCATTGTCTTCCGTTCTGGGGTCCACAGAGTGCTTCGTAACCCTTCTTCCGTTCTGGGCTATTCGATGTTACTCGGCTCTAAATTTGACGCTAACGATCGAACAGGTAGTCGAATGGCGAGGCTGGAAGGGTCGCGGAGCCATTGAGCTGCAGTTGGATGTAAGCTTGCGCCTTCCTTGGCTGCATGTGGACTGCATCAATGACCCTCTCCGCCATTTTCATTCGACCACCCTAAAAGGAGCGTGATACGAATATGGAGAGATATACAACTCCAGTATCTTTGGCACTCGCGCTTATCATGTCGCAGTTACCGCCATTCTCAATGTACCTTCCACGAGCACTCTGACGCTTTACTCACTCCTTTTCCCACCTCACCCAACCCGAATCGCGCAGCTTAACGAAATCACCGAAATGTAGTTGCGCTGAATAATTACGCAGCGGCATGTATCATTACAACCCGAGATGAGCAGACTTCGCCTCCGCTACCAAACATAACCATGTCTTTCGGATTTGCTGTTGGTGATTTCATCACTGTTGCAAAACTAATAAAAGAAACTATCAGCTGCCTACGGTCTGTGGGCGGGGCTGAATCGGAGTACCAGGAGCTGGTCAGAGATCTTAAAGCACTCGATATCTCATTACACCACCTCGATCACCTCGACGACGACATGAATGCATCCGCGCATGTTAGCCCGATCAATATTGCGACCACGAACTGCAGGCTACGACTTGAAGGGTTCTTGTCAAGAGTCAAGAAGTATGAAAGATCTTTGGCCTCCTCTAGCCATCCATCGATATTGAGGGCTACATCAGACAAGCTTGGTTGGCATTTTGGTCGGAAAGATCAGGTCGAACAACTCCGACGAGACATTCATATCTGCCACAGTATTATCAGCCTGCATCTAGCCCAACACAGTCTTGAGCGCCTGGAGATCCTGCGTGCAACAACCGAGATCGACTTTTCGCATATATCTGAACAGCTATACCATACCCGTACCGTTCTCGAGCACATCAATAAAGAGAACATGAATCAAGCGGTCGTTTTGAGCGATGTCCAAACGTTGCTCCAAGACATACATCAATTCGTCTTTGGTGACATCAAACTGTATTTGATTCGTCTCCTCCAGCTCATCAGCAGTACCTTGTACGTACAACAAATATAGCATAGTTTAAACCTGAGCTGACTTTCCTGTTCAGTACGTCCACGCAGCAGATTTACGAGATCTTGCTTGATATCCGGAACATCATATCGGTAGACACACGCTGGACCTTCTTTCAGGCTCCTTTGGAAGTGGAAGATGCCTTCGGAGTCATATTTCCCATCCCTACAGAGTACGGTTACGACCTAATTGATACCGTTATTCGCCACCGGTTCAAAATTGGCGGAGGTTCTATGGAGGTGAAGGCAGGGAATTACGAACTGTGTAGGAAACAAAACCGTCTTGACATCATTACCGAGTCTTCACGTCTCCAACCTGGGACTGCCATCACGATGTTCATAATCGTGAGCAGCTCGATCATTAAGGAGGCAGCATGGCCCATATCTCGTTGCGAATCGGCAGAGATTATCCCGTGCCCCGGAGGGGGGTTTGGATGGTAAGTACGTTCCCAGTCCATTCGTGAAACTTCACTGACGCGGTTCATACAGCTCTAACCTTGATGTAGAGCTCCATCAGGCTAGCGAATTGTCATCAAACATCAAAAACGTCCGCAGCAATGGCGCAAACTTTTTCCAGCCTCTTACACTACTTCCACTTGCCCACGACCGTCCTTCCAATGCAGTCTGTTACAATGTTATGGAACGAACTATGCGAAGGAGCGTCCGATTCGATTCTTTGAGAGACTCTGTCCCAGTCTACAACCCTGTTTTGGAAGAGATCGCCAAGATAGACGGTGTTATTTCGTGTCCTCGTGTCTCTGTAGGAGGTATGGTAGACGGTAAATTCTTTGCGACGTTTCAACTTGAGCTTGAGCAAAACTCCGAGAATAAGTCACCGCGTTGTATGGAGGTCGGACGTGAGCTTCGCAAATGCCTTGACCGGTACGGAGTTCATTTGTCCAGTATTCATTCGCATGTTGCTGGCAAACATGTCGATACCAGTGTATGACCGACGTAGTAGCGCATGCGGCCTTCGCAGCATGGAACATCAACAAATATACCGTATCTTTTCGGTAGGCAAGGTATTATCTTGAGACCGGACAACTAGTCGTGACATCCTGTCTTACCACGTGGCGCACCTGCACTTCCCCGTTTCAGTTCTCGTAGTCGTAGATCATTGGTCCCCAAGAAGTCAGCCTGCAGCAAGGCTGAAAGTGGAGGCGAAGTGCTTGACCTGCAGCCGCAGTGTTCTGTTACCTCAGCTGATCGTTTTGATAATAGCTATCGCCGCTTCTTATATTGCACTGTCTTCTCGCCATCTCGTCGCACCCTTCCGAACGCTTCTTCGGGTCACTCCATAATCTCCTAGCCGACATCCACAGGCTGCCTTGCAAAAACAGCCAGCGTCATTCTGTCGCAAGGCTACGCCCTCGTACCTTCCTCCCCCACGTTGTTGAACAATTTACCCTCACGATACGAAACCTTGGGGTGTCGCGGTCATGTCGTTTGGGTTTTCTGTCGGCGACTTCATCGCAGTAGGCAAACTGATCAACGACATCGTTAAATGCTTACAGTCAGTTGGGGGTGCGAAGTCAGAGTACCAGGAGATGATCCGAGAGTTCGAAATACTTACCAAGGCCCTGGTCCATATCGATCATCTCAAAGCCGCCGACGAACAAATGACAGCACAACTGAACTACATCAAATTCGCGGCACTCAGCTGCCGGTACCAACTACAGGATTTCATGACTAAGATGAAGGAATATGACAGCTCGCTGGGCATTAAAGCTCGGATGGATATGATGAGGAAAACAGCACGCAAGTTGCGATGGTCTTTCGGTCCTTCAGGCGACATTAAACAGCTGCGAATGTATCTGAATACACACGTTGGCACGATAAACATGTTGCTTGCGCAATACGGCCTGGAGCAGATGACTTCGGCCGGCGTGAAGTCAGAGGAACACTTTATGCAGGTTAGCAGGAAATTGGACAAGAACCAAGCACTTCTTGTGGATGTCAAAAGCGACACGTCAGATATAGGTACCTCTTTGGGCCGACTGCTCGCAGCGATACGGGAAAATCGGTACGTTTGATGCCCATTAAACCCTGACCATTGTGTAGCTAATTATGATGATCGCAACACAGACTTACTACAGATCAAATACATACCAGCATGCTTGAAATACAATCATCACTGGGTGCCGTTGATATACGGATGACATATACACAGAGACCCTTTTACCTCGAAGATGCTCTAGGGTTCAGATATCCGGTCCCATCAGAATTCGACTATGATATGCTGGACACAATCGTCAGGCGCCGCTTCAGACAAGGGGCTGGTTCCCAAGATGTGGCTTTAGGCAACTACGAGTTCGTCAGAACGAACCAGAGATCACTGGTCATTACGGCAATCTCTCAACTCACACCCGGAACCAGTATTGTGATGGCTATTATAGTGAAAGCAGATATGAAGAAGGGTTGTCCGACCCCCGGATGTACCTCTCTCAGATCTCATCCTCACCCCGGTGGAGGTCTCGCATGGTGAGTTCTACGATCGTTAGTTCTCTTAATTAATTCTGATAGCAACATGGCAGCTCTCATTGTGGCGTTTGGTTCGATCAGAGTACGAAGAGAAGACAGGAGCTCGAAGATAGAGTCAACGAAATCGAAGGGCTCTCCATCTCCGTGGATAACACGTCCAGATACGAGCCTGTAAATTCTCAAGACCCGGCTGTCTCTGGTACTGAGCAATCACTTAAAAACGTCAAAATTGCACAGCCGGACCAGTCACCTAAGATCGCATCCAAGCAAAAGCTTGATGATGCGAGCGACCCTCTTCGTTGCGATACACAGGGCTGTACTAGGTCCTTCACGGGGCCTTATCGTAAAGTGGACCTGAACCGCCATAAGAGATAACGCCATGGCAATGGGAGCGAAGGTCGATACTGGTGAACGGAATCTGGATGTGACAAGGGATTCGCGAGCCAGGATGATCAACTGAGGCATTATCGGAAGCAACATCAACGTCCACGCGCTGCTGCCAACCCCCACGACTTTTGGAAACCTTTTGAGTCAGCAATGGAGTCGGTCGACATTAAATAGGTCTCATTGATATTGCGGGTGTTATCAGTATGATATTGTTTATTGGTCAGGGCACAGCTTGCACTAGCACGTCCAGCAATGCAAAAGGGAGCACAGACGTCTCTTTGTCTTTACAACTTAGCTTTTCTCTTATACACAAGTATTATCAGCCTGATGTGTTGGTGCTCTCTAGCCCCGGCATGAATACAGTTATAGTGCAGCAATTACATCCTTGAGGACATCTCTATGTAAACTTTTCGCAGGATCGGACTGGACTAAGGTGATACCTTGTACAAAGAAAAATTTGAACAGGTGCTCTGTCGTTACATTAGTATAAAGGTTAAAGTTTACACATCCCCAAATGCAATGTAAACTTATAGGGGGTAGAGATTTAGCTTTTTCCTTGTACGAGGTGATCAAACTACCTGCAGTAGGTAGCCTCTTGAACAATTCGAGCGCGGCAGTACGTCTCTCATCTTGAATAGGAACTACCATAAGAGGTGAAAACTGCCGCGACTTCTAGGTCTACCACGTGGCGCACTTGCGCTTTCCCTTTCAGCACACTGACGCTTCACCGGCGCCTGCGTACCACCACCCTCCTTCACTTTTGATCTCCACGCCTTTCATTCCAAAGCAGCAACAAATCGCACTCATGGCCAACCACAGGGCGATGCAAGAGATGAGCCGTCTCGAGGACCTGCAACTGCAGCGCGAGCTCAAGCAAAGCGTCCTTGGTATGGGACTTCCCACTTTTCCGCTGCCGGAAGGCGCTGTAGCAGACTCTGCAATACTGACTGCGCAACAGAATACATCATCGACATGTACCAACCAGCCTACCCCAACAACCATGGCTTCTCCATCCTCATCTGCCGCCACGTATTTGACCGCTCCTCTTCCATCCCCGCTGCTGCCGCCTTGGGCCGCCGCAACGATAGAGCAGACGAGTTCATCATGATCCGCGCGGTTACACTCAGCGAGCCCGGAACGAAAAAGTGGACGCTCGTGGCTGAGAGCAGCAGGGCGTGCTTTGGTATCGTACCTGCGTTGCAAGAGTTTTCCAAAGACTTGGAGCGAGAGATGGGAAAGATGACAGCTTCGATGACTGTAGGAAACAAAAGGCAGCGCAGTGACAAGGATGAGAGCTCGATCGATCAAGGTGAGTACATCTCAGGTTATCAGCGCAAGAGGCAGAGGTAGAGAGCAGGACGTGAGCTAGCAATCGTTGGCAGCTGAGACTGGTGATATCGCTTGGATGCGGTAACAGGCTTGGCCTGCGACAAACGACGCATGTACAATCTACTCTATGTCCAGCGATGATGCAGAGATGGTCGTTTCAAATATCGAGAAGAGGATTGGAAAGGTTGTCGCACTTATGTGAAACGATGCAGCTAGTACAATGTCGAGAAACTCGCCTCACCTAGGCAGATCGTAGCGACTAAAAATGGCACATCATGAAGATATATCGTCATTTACGTGATAAAATTCAAGGAAAAAGGTATGTAGTTGGGCATCTTTTGACAACTGACAGGTAGTACCCGGTTTTTCCGTAGTTCGGGCCAATGTTTAGGTGTCAGCCCACGGATTGACAGGTGTATCCTCGCATGTTCGCTGGAGTTCCATGTGCCTGCCACGGGTGTCGGCCAATGACAGCTGACTCACGTGGCGTTCTGTACATAGCACCCCTACACACAATGGCACCGGGCTTCGTCATCGAGCCTGAGTGCTGCCGAGCTGGCCAGGTGCAGCACCGAAACTTGGAAGAACGACTGAGACGCAGCGAGACATGTGGAGTTGAAAGACGCCGCCATGCAGATGGGCAGAATAAGCATTACCTCACGGCAGCTGTCGTTGGGGGCGTCGCGACGTAAGATGGACAGAAGTGAGGCACCGGTCAGGTTCCGGAGGCGGCCGGAGAGGGGCTATGTCGAGCAGCACGTTGAACATGTTCGCAGCGAAAAGACCCCCAAAGGGTGCGTCGGTGAGGGATGCCGGTCAGAAAAGCTGCGCAAATCATGAGACCTAGCCGGGTTGGACAGGCGCTTCTCGTTGGGCGCAGCAGGTGGTGGCAGAAGAATTGGGCTTGGCTGCCCGGCTGGCGGCAATGACATCACTCGCACGCTCTGTGCCCTCAAGACGGCTGCCCACCCCAGCCTCAAGCAAACGGTAATATCTACGCCACCCCACCTGCACCGAGATAGATCCTTGGGACCCAAGCCAAACGGACAGTCATCAGCCCTGGCCCTCCCGAGTCGACAACCTGTTAAATACCACTGCCTGCCTGTGCCCTGCGCCGCTCGACACCCCATTCCCCTACCCACTTTGTCCCGTCACTTCGCAGGCACCTTATTCTTCGTTGCGACAGCCCACCAGCCTCTCACTTGCGCTAGCAGCCAAGTAAACTCTATCTGAACAAAGCGACCACTCGGTATGTTTGCACGCCGCCGCTCTCTTTTTCCCCTCGCGCGCCCGCTAACCCAGCCCTGCGCAGAATACCGGACTGGATACGACCCTTCCTGCTGCCGGACCCCTAGAGCCACAATCGCCCACGGCGGTATAGAGCACCACCACCATCACTATGTCTGAGTACAGCTACGCACCGCGGCACCGTACGCGGGAGCCCGAGTACGTCACCGAGACGACGTACATTGAGCGCGGCGGCCGTGGAGGCGGGGCACGAGATCTCGTCTACCGCCCCGCAGCGCGCGAGGACAGCATCGAAGAAATTCCTCGCGACTTCCCTCCCGGTGCCGAGTATAGGCAGACCAAGTACCGCGAGGAGTATGCGCCGCCCCGCCGCACCCGCTCAGTGAACCGTGGCTACGACGATGACTACTATGACCGTCCCCGCCGACGTGACCGCGACTACGATGACCGTTCCGAGTACTCCGAGCGCCCCAACATGCAGCGCCGCAAGTCCATCGTCGACAAAGTCAAGGACTTCGGCGAGTCAGCAGGCCTAGGCGGCATCATCGGCGCCGTCACTGGCGGCGGTCGTGACCGATCGCGCTCCCGCCCTCGTCGAGACGACCGTGGCTATGATAGCGACAGATACGGATACTACGACGAGCGCGACCGCCGAAGCAGCCGTTACGGATCACGTTCGCGCAGCCGCAGCCGAGGTGGACACAAGTCTGAGAAGTGGGAGCAAGCCGCCAAAGCCGCTATCGTCGCCGGTGCCGTCGAAGCCTTCCGCAGCCGCAAGGAAGCCGGTCCATGGACCGGTGCCAAGGGCCAACGTGTCGCAACTGCTGCTCTTGGTGCTGCCGGTATCGACGGTCTCATCGACAGAGACCCCGGCAAGCACGAGAAGAGGCACGTCGCCGAGTCTGCACTCGGTGGTCTTGTCGCTTCTCGCCTAGCCAACGGCTCTCGCTCGCGCTCCCGTGCTCCTCGTGGCCGTGACGACTCCAGGTCTCGCTCCCGTTCTCGTGCCAGGTCCAGGTCCAGGTCCATCTTCGGACGCTCCCGCTCTCGTGGCCGCTCCCGCTCCAACTCCAGCGACAGGGGAGGAAACAACGGTATTGCCAAGGTAGCTGGTACCGGTGCTGTGCTCGCAGCAGGTAAAGCTCTATACGACCGTGTGCGCTCCAAGTCTCGTGCTCGAAAGGACCGATCCCGCTCTTCCAGCTCGGACAGCTACGTGCCATCACGTAGGGGCAACCGCCGCTCGTACAGCCGAGGCCGCGGTATGGACGACCAGTATTCCGAAGCCCCTTCCAGGACTAACCCAGATCGCAGACTAGCCGCCGCCGGTGGGGCAGGAGCGGGTGCTTTAACAGCACAGAATGGAGGAATGGATCGGGGTCGACGGGATTCTAGCGCGGATTCCGAGTCGTCCACCGATATGGAGGAGAAGCGCAAGAAGCTACGAGGTAAGGAACTCCTCACTGCGGGTCTAGCCACTGTGGCCACCATCCATGCCGCCCACGGAGTCTACTCTTCCATGGTCGCCTCGGAGAACCGCCGCAAGCTCGTTGGCGAGGGCGAGATGACGGCCGAAGAAGCGCGCAAACGCAAGTCCAAGAACATGCTCCAGGACGCCGCCGCCGTGGGTATCGCCGCCCTCGGTATCAAATCCGCCTACTCCGAATGGAAAGAGATGAACGAGCAACGCCACAGCGTCAAGGAACTCGAGACCCGCCGCCGCAAGAGGAGAAAGCTCCGTGAACGCCGCGAAAAGGAAGCCCGGATGAACGCCCTCGGTGGCAACATGAATGGTGCAGCCGCTAATCCGTACGCATATCCTGTAGCTGCCAACCAATCCTACCCTACGTCCTATGCCGATGCGAATCCCTACGGTAGCTCGGTCCCGCCCCCACCCATGGGTGCGAGGTACTAGAGCTTCTTTTCTTTGGTTTACTCACGATGGTTATTCACGACACGGCCGACTTGTTTACTCGTGTACTGCGGTGGATGATAGAAGTATTGTTACATACCTTTTTTTATTCTGTCTTTCAGAAAGCTTGGATAAGCGAGGAGGTGAATGTTATTGTTCTTCTTTTTGAGCAGCTCCATTCTTTTGTTTTCGCGACTCCGATGATTGACGATGGATGGAGGCGACTTCTTGGGTTCGGAAGGAAAGAGAAGAAGTGTTTTTGGCTGATGCGACAATCGAGTCTTCTGGCTCACACATGAATGATTCACGACATGACTTTACGAAATGAAGATAGATATGAAATGGAAAACGGTCTCTTTGTACATGCTTTCTGGTTTGCACGTTTTTTTTTTGAGACTTCGTGATGTATCTTGACGAAAGACCGAGTTCAGCTGCGACATGTTCGCTTTTGGGTTGGTACATTCACAGATTCGATAGCATGCGGACGAACTCTTGCACACGACCATTGAACAAGACTTTTGATTCAGGACATCCGTCCTACTCCCAAATCTCCAAAAACTAAGAGAAAGAGACTATGTGATATGTGATGCCAAACTAAGATAAGCAAAGGGAAATGTCCAGGCATCCAGGCCTTGAAGACTCCGCCACCGGAGGTATGTGAATATAGTCGAACGCCAGAGAATGTGCAGGGGAGATAAGGTAGATGACCAAAAGATATACAAAGGGGATATGTGTTGTGGAATGGAGGACCAAAACCAAGTTGCCGTCGACACCATGTGTTTCGCCATTCAAGCACCCTCATCATCGCTGATGTCTTCGTCAAAGTCGGGTTCGTCGACCGCCCAGAGGATGAAGGGGCCATTGTACTCCATCTAGCGTTTGTTAGTACATGTCCATCGCAAGCAGGAATGAGATGTCATGGGCAGGTGGTACTTACATCGTTACGACCCGGCTCTGATGCAAACCACCAGCGGCCTAGGATGATGCGGCCACCAGGCAAGACAACGCCCTCATACGCCCAGAGATTGTCCTCGTTGGGGTGGTCGTAGTCCTCGGTGAAGTGCTTCATGAAGGTGATGCGCTGCCAGCCGGGGACACCACCTTGAGGGGGCAGTGGGTTGAGCCAGCCAAGGGCCTTGTATTCATCGTCGAGGTCCTCACCCTTACCCTCAAACTGAATGCTACCGCCTGTGGTTGTCTTGGTCGGTGCGCTCCGACCCTGAGTCTTGATGCCTTGTTGCTTCCCGGCGTCCTTGCCTAGCGAGCGGAGGCGGTCTTCGAAGACGGGTGGCCATGGGAGCTCGCGACCATCGGGTAGGCGACTGTCTTCTGCGAAAGCAAGCTCGAGAGACTGCATGTGATCAGTAGGGTTCGTAAAGGCCATTCCCAATTGGAAATCTACCTGGATCTTGCCCTCGTCCACGTTCTTGTCAATGAAGACCTGTCTGCCTGGTCCCTGCTTTCGCAGCTTCTGAACCTCAATGTTCTCGAGGAAAGAGTAAGTGCCTTTCCAGTACCTGCTCAGAGGCTTGACTCCGTCAGTGAGTTGTTCCCGCCATGCCGAAGGCTTCTGGGTAATGTCTAGTTCATCGATCCTGTCGAACAAAGTTTGGGCATCTTCGTTCATCATGTGGTGACGGAAGAAGTTCATTGCGTGGAGCATCCACCTGAGGTTCAACTTGTTGTGGTCAACTCCGGTAAAGAGGCGTTCCTTGTCAGATGAGAGGTAGACAGCGTGCTGTGAGTCCTCAAAAGCAAAGACATCATGTCGCAAGCCTTCGAGGTTGAAGATGAACTGCGAGCACATGAGCCGGACAGCGGCAAGCCCATCGTCGATATAAGCCATCTTGCCGTTTTGGGTCTCAGGGGCCCTTCGGTCGTTGTTGAGGATATGGGATTTGAGAATGAAGTCGACAATGTGGGCGTGGTTCTTGCAACGAAGACGGCCATGCTCGTCAACTTCGGTAGCTCCTTGATAGGATTCTGTATTCGTTAGCACACGAAAATTGTGTTCAGTTCCTGGGTATTTCCGACGTACCAATGATCATGTCTTTGATCATGTTGATGACCTGCCTCTCCCCCTGATGGGTTCCATAGTGAAACTTGTACCGAAGACCGTATTTGAATAGTCGGGAGCGACGCTGATATACCCGACGCAGGTTGAGGTTGGAAGGGCCGGCCTTGAAGTCGTACTTCTCGCGGTACTTTGCGCGCCAGAAAGAAAGATTATCGGCGTCGATGGCATCGTTGGTAGCACGGCAGGCGGCCTTGTAGGCCGCGATGTCCTTGTCGTCGTGCAGCTCATGAGCAATGGCCTTGTTGAGCTACGAGTGATCGTCAGTATACTCAAGTCTACTCACACATGCATGTTGGGAATACATACCTCTATGGGTAGAGAGTTGAACGCCGTAGCAGTAGACGGGCTCTGGGAATGAGCCATGTTGATATGGGATACTGAAGAGGTCAATGATTGAACTATTCGCTGATCCGGTGCGATGGAGGAAGAGGTAGGTGGGAGAAGAGGCTGGCAGTGTGTGAGGATGATATACGGAGGCGAGCTCACCCTCACTAGCCGGGAAAACAGAAACTCACCTATTGTTCTATAGACAGTGAAGGTGACAGGGGTCCGACTGGCCGCAGATGGCCGTGGCGAGACGAGGTGAAGGTGAACGGTACCAAACGTCCTCAACACTGCGCGCGAATGTACGGCTGTTCCGGGCTATGCGAGTACTCCAAGCTTTGCGGAGGAAGACGACGGCCGGTATACGGAATGGACAGGATAGCTGGGGTGCCTTGCGGCTCTCTGGGTGCAATAGTGATGAGAAGTTGCAAACGAACGTGCCTCAGCGTGCGTTTGTAGGCGTCTGGCAGGGTTCCAACGAGGTTACATAGACGTGGGAGGCGGAGGTTACCGATGTCGGTGTCAAAGTTATGATCAGGGACTGCATGATGTGACTGTGGGGTTGGAGGCGATGATGATGGTTGTAGTTGCTGCTGCTCTCTTGGTCTTCCACATGGCCTCCAGGGAAGGGACAGCCAATGACGCACATCCCATTTCGAACGTCGATGTTTGGCTCGCGAAGAATATCCCACGCTTTCCTGCGAAGTATCAGCCATTGCGTAATTGCATCTTGAAAGGCCTAGAGGAATTCTTGAGGCACAACGCTCTGTTGAGCATGCAGTGCATTATACTATCAAGGTAGTGCATATCCGAAAACTATGACTCTTCCTCATCTTCATCTTTACAGAAGCGCGCCGACAACAGCGACACCTGCAGCCAGATAACGTCCGCTTCTGACACCCAAATTCAGCGCAGCACCGCTCGTCTCAGTCGGCGTCGATACACCTCCAGTTCCAGACGGTGTCGGGCTCTCATTCTCTCCCGCATCAGCCGCCTCGCTCACATCCGCGATACCACTACCATCCTCCCTCGTAACGACGAAGATCTCGCCCGTAGAGTCCGAACTCATGTACAAGCGACCCTCGGAATCCCACGCAAGGCCGACGGGGCGGAAGCAGGAGTCAGGGCAAGCGGAGAGGTCAGGATTGGAGACGATATCGGTAGCAGCAGTGGTACTGTTCGCGAGCTCGACAGGCGAGCCCTTTCCGTCGAATTGGACGAGGCTGAGCTTGTAGCCGATGGGCTCTTCGCGATTCCTATACAGTCGTTAGAAGGATACAGGGAGAGGAGGGTAGGCCAAGTTACCAAGAGCCATGCATCGTTACCCATGCGGCAGTGCCGTCAGGGTTGAACTTGAGGTCTAGGGGAGCCATGTGAGCATCGAATGTAATTCTAGGAGCGATACGGTCTTCCACGCAGAATGTATCGTTGACAGTCGCGTTCTGGTCTCCGATAGCAAACGCTTCGCCTGTCATGCCGCCGAAATCCGGAATCTCGGACCTGTTCCATGCTGTAAAGCACGAAGGGTAGCCATAGTTGCCACCTTGTACATCGCTCCCAGTTCCATTGAGGTAACCGTGGAAGTTCAGTTCTTCACCGGGGTTGTTCTGGTTGATAGTCTCTCCACTACGTTCGATGTTGTCGACACTGTTCTCGACAGAGTATATACCACCTGAGATGGGTTCCTCAGCTACTCCTACCGAATTTCTCAGACCCCAACCAAGCAGCAGTCCGCTTGAAGCATGATCGTACGCGGAGCCAGTCATGTTGCCTACGTTGAAAGCTTTGATCGTTGAGACTCCTGTAGTCACATCTAGGGTCTGGAGGTCAATGTTACCCACACTACCGCGAGAGACAAGTAGCATGTCAGGAACCTTCTGAGACATGAGAAGTGTACGCGTAGTATGACCTTCGTCGTCTCCCATGCCTTCGACGACATCACGGGGTTCGGATGTAGTTTTGCCCTCCGATGCATCGTAGTCCCAAGCGTAGACGTTGCTGTGGGATGATGCATAGAGCGTATTTCCATCCTGCGAGAAAGCAATGCCATGGTTCAACTACCATAGTCATCGATCAGTCACAGTTTACTCAACGCGGTGCAAACACTCACAGAGTCATCCTCCACCACCATCTGCACGTCCCTACAGCGACCATTACCAGTCATACTCAACCGGCTAACCCCATGCTCCTGTTCGACAACCAACAGCCCACCTTCCCGATCAAAAATAATGCCGCGTGGATCCCTCAGGCCATTAGCCACAACCTCGACACGGAACCCCGGCGCCACCGAAGGAGCACCATTTTGTGGGGCAATGGGACTTGCGCATGCTGCACCAGTGGAGGTGGATTGCGCTTTGGCCGTCAGCACACCAGAGCAGCCGCTCAGGCCCACCACTGCTATTAAGTGTTTCAGCGCCATGTTGAATTGCGGAGAATGACGTGAGAGTGCTGGCCTTTTTCCGACGCAAGCACTGCAAGGCAATTGATTTGGGCAGTTGCGCCGTGCTGGAGGCGTAACAAATCCGAGCCGGAGCTTAGCGAGATTGGAGTAGGTTTGGTTGGGGCGCAGTTGAGGTATGCAAGGTACGGATGTAGTCCAGGCAACGGGTACGAGGAGCACTCTTTCTTGGTGTTAGCGCCGTGAGGTCGTGGAGATTGGAAGGCAGTTGGCTGTTGAGCGTCTCGATACGAGGATTGGTCCAGATGGGAAAAGGAACACCAGGATGGACAGGAGTGCAGCGCTTCACATATAGACTTGCCCCTCTTCTAGCATGTAGTCAGGCAAGCCGCCAAAGTGGCAGTCGCCTCTCTCTTGGTGTTGCTTCCCGTCATTGCTTGGCCTGCGCCTCCCAAGACAGAAGGAACGTCATTGACCTCGGATGAATAACAGCGCGGGGTCTGAGGATTTGCCCTACCGTCAAACCATCGCAGTCTCAGCTACATGCATATTGAAATTGGCGAGTACGCGTTGAGGGAACCGCAGTACTCGCCCTTCGTCTTGGTGCAGCAATCGCATGTTTCCATAGGGCAAGTCGTGCGACCGTTTACACGTCTACAAGGAAATAGTGGAGCAGGGTCGTGGAGGCTCTGTTTACAGTACTCCGGCGTGCGACCGAACCGGCCGAGGGTATTCCTCCCACACTTGGACGCGTGGTATGCGCTTGCCGGGGAGTCGGACCATCAATCGCGGTAGCCATCCCGAAGATGAACGAAAGAAGCTGTATAGCACATAATGTGGTAAGCTATATCGTTGGGAAAACCGGAATATGCATCGTGGATGACAGTGCAGCGTGTTAGGGCGTCTCTCGGTTAGTGGTAGCTTCGGCTTTATGACTGGAATGCGACATGGGCTGTATTGTTGTGATCATCCAAGATTGTTGGTATGGCTTGACGCACAATTTACTCGTGCGGAGTATCTGTAAGGAGACTGGACTTCACGCATGTCCTGCTGCATTCTCTGTTGTATTGTCCTAGAATGATGTTCTGCACGGATTTCTCGTCCCGTGTCTCTGCCGCTCACTGACCCGCCCGGGCAGAAGCGAAAGCGAGTGGTACGCTGCTGTACGATGATCTGGCTCTCCGGCATGAACAAGATGCGCAGACGATCTTCAGTGCGTGCGTGCGGGTTACTGCGCCTCGTTCGGCGATGTCTTAGCAGCTGGCTCATCAGGGCGCTGCGTGTAAATGCATTAGTGGTATGTGATTCGGCTATGGGGCTGCAGTAGCTGGGCTCGCAACAACGGCTCCGGAGCTTTGATGTATTCGAGAGGCCTCAACCGGGAATCAGGATACGACAGTACATTCCGGAATGACCGTCTTCTAAAAGAAAGTGGCGGTGTACTGAAGTTTCAGAATATGGTTCTGTCGGTTGTTAGAGAACACATAGAGGGCCTAAACTATCTGGATACGATAGAGTTGCCGAACCCGAAAGTCAAAAGTGAAGACATCATGATGTATGAGCGGGAAGGTAGTCTAAGATATGTTTCAAATTCTGTGTATTCTTGTCTTGTGCGACAGTGAGCAGCCGTCAGATATCGATGCTATGATTTTGAGAAGACCCTCATGGTGATTCAAGATACCATAGATCAAGAGAGACAATGAGACAAAGGAACAAAGAGAAAACCCTTAACCCGCTTTTGTACATGACTGAGACGTGTAGAAAAGCGGCTCTCGCGAACTGCGCGGTATGCCCATCCCACCAGGAGAGTATTATATGCTCCACATCCACATAGGAAACCCAATCCTCAATGCGCCGTATTCTTCCATTAGACAAAACATATGCATGCTGCGCATGTGCGCTTCATATCGCATGCCTCCTCTTTTCCACGTGTATCCTGGCTGGGAGATGCTGCAACTTATGCAAAAAGGAATCGCAAATGCCATGTCGCTTCAAATGCAGTACTTGGCCTGACCTGGTAATCGACGGCTGCGTAATTAATACAGGGTAAAGGTGATCAGGCCATGGAGGCCAGATCGTCGCTCAAACGCTCTGATCCAAAGGGAAATATCCAGAAGAAACTTTTGTTTCTCCCCACAAACTTTTGCCCAGATGCGTGTGGCCAGCACGGAGCGAGTTGAATGCTACCCCAAACATGCTCGTAATAGCTCCATCGCGTCGTTGTTTCCTGTGAATTTACATCACTGTCATGAGTTTCATCTGAGCCGCAAGATCCGCATCTTGTTGGTGAATCATGCTGAATGGTGGCTCCTCGTGTAGTGGGCTTGCGATAGGACTCGAGTACAAGCCCTCCGCACCCCTGATCGTGTCTTTGACTTTGCGCGTCAACGTACTAACGTATGGCACGATGCGTCGCAGAGTCGCGGTGTCGAATGGAACCTTCTTCGAAGGTGTCGAAGGTACGGGAGGCGCATCCAGGAACGGCTCGTATGCGCTCCTCCTCTTTTGCAGCGCTTCGATGACAGAACGTGCTTTAGCCTCCGAGTCTTTCCGGGGTCTCGTAACGATAGTCTTGGATTCGTGTGTCGCAGGTGTGGCGTCGGATTCCAGTCTAGGTGTGATCGGTGAAGATTGCGGGGTAAAGATGCCGTTGTTGGATGGGAGAATCGACTTCCTCAGAGGGCGCGCTGACTGTGGTGGCTTGGGGCTATCTTCGTTAGGAGATGATGACTTCTGCCTTCCTCGTCCAAGGCTAGGGCTGGCGGGTGGTTCGTCAAAAGCGTCGTCGTCAAAGCCAGGCGATGAGGGAGGAGAGGCGTGGGCCAGGCCCTCGTGGTCGGCCTCCTGGTCTGCAAGCTCGATCATCGCATCCACTTCAAGCCACATGCCCGAAGGGGGGCCTTGTATCATGCCGAGCGCAACCGCGCGTACTCTTTGCTCTTTGAGCTCCTCAATTAGTAGACCCCATTCGCGCAGAAGACTGATGTTCGCAAGGACGTTATTCTGCTGTTCTTGTATAGTCTTTGGTACGACCATAGACGAGCCACTGTTCCCCATAGGCGAGCTTCCGTCCTCTGCAGCAGGCTCCTCAGTGAGCTCGGAAAAGTCAAAGTCGTCGTTCCAGTCTTCGGTGACACCTTTGCTTCCCACACCCCAGGTGCCAAACTTGTTTGTGACCACTGTGCTACGCTTGCCAGTCAGATCCGGAACGACGGGCACACTCTGGCTGCGGGCGTGCAACCCGCTGGGGACTCTGCGTCCAACAGAGCGACTGCCTCTGCGGTCCGCATCCTTCTTTCCGTGCACCGTCCGAGGTCGTGGCGGCGTGCAGCTGCCTGAGTTCTTATCTGCGATTTGCTGTTCAGACCAGTCGAAGATGCTGCTTCGCGCGTCCTTGTCGCCGAATTCTGATGTGGGACGCTTGGGCGTAGCTGGGTTAGGAACGTAATCGGGTGCGAGCAGATGCTTGTGCTGTCGCAGCAGCGACACGGGTGTGGCCTTGTGGTTGACTGTTGGATGATCAACCCAGGGATCCTCATCATCTGCCTCTTCTAGTGACCACCTACTGCTATCGTCGTCGTCCCCTGCTCGCGAGTCCCATTCCAATGTGCCAAGCGAAAGCGGCTTGGGCATGCTCGGGGGAGACGACGTTATCGACTTGGGAAAGAGAGGCGCGCTGTGTGTTCGGGAGAAGGTGGGCGAGTCCTGCGATGAGCGCTGGGGACGAACAGTCCGCACGGGTGTCGAGATGCTCTCCTCTTCCTCGGCGATGCTCTGGTGGCCGGCGACACCATTGACGGTGGGCTCCCCAAAAGCGCCGGGCGGCAGTAGATCGCGTAGGGCTGTGACCTTGACCTTGACTTTGGCGGGGGGTGACTCGTCGAATATGGTCTCAATGCGAGGCCCACGGGCGCCGCCAGCTGTACTTCTGGTCGCACCAGTGCGCAGCGAATCAAAGACGGTATCGCTCTGGACGTCAGCGTCGTCCTCGTCGCCGGAGCCTAAGGCGCGAAGCTCATTATCAGACGAGCCGACCAATGTCGAGGCCTGTTCTGAGGGGGCCATGGAATGACGCGAGACCCGAACTCCCGATTGCGCTAGAGTAGGGGATGGTGGCGCCTGATTGGCGCCCGGTGCGGCTGAGGCCAAATCGTCGGGCTGCTGAGACAAGGGCGCCAAGCCCGCGCCAGCGAGCATGTCAGAAGGAGGAAGCGCCGGCAAGGGCGACGATAGACGCCTGGTGTGAGAAGCATTGCGTGCCGTCGCTGACTCGGGGAGCCCGGCGGACGTGGCGATGTCGCGCTTTGCTGGTTTGGGGTCTGTCACATCGCGGCGGCCTTCTCCATAAGAGGTGCTGTGTGGCCGTCTGCTCATAGTAGGCAGGATGGGTGCTGAGTTGACCCGCTGGCTCGCACGGCGGGAAAGTCTGGGTCTGGACACGGCGCCTGTTCGCTCCTTCTTGGACGACAGGAAGGAAGTAATGGAGAA